TGCTAGGAAAATCACCCTTCGGGATTTTCCGATCGCGCTAATTCGGAAAAGTTTAGACCAGAATGCCGGTTCTTATTTATATGTAAAACATCTTTTTACTTTACTGATTCGGCAGTTTATTTAATAAACTATCGAATAAATAAAGCAAAAGTGATTTACATATGAATAAGAACTGGCATTCTTTTCCGATCGGAAAACCCCGAGTGATTTTCCTAGCAAAGATCCAATTTCTTATTTGATGGATCATTCGAAAATTTAGGTATTGCATTCCTTTAGTTTACTCATACAATACTATAAAAAATATGTGGAATATCCCTATTATTCAGGGGACATAGCAATACAGAAAATTCTGGGGATATACTTTTTAGATACGATTACATTAACATGGTTAAAGGAATCTCAATTCCAAGCTTCCACACAGAGAGATGGATTTACTGCTACTATGTCGCCAAGTGGTATTATTGTTTACATGGGTGGATATAGTATTATTTACCTGCAAATTTAAAGAGGTACGATATTGATTAATTATTTTTTTTTATCAACGTTTCTAAATTGTTTGGAAACTTATAGGCATATTTATTATATTTATATAACACAAAAAAATAATGGATGGGAAAAAAATGGGATTGTAAATGGCATTAAATTCACAGGTTAAATTTTAATTTTGCTAAAGACATTTTCCAGTAACGTGTAATCGACTTGGCACGTTGAGATAATATTCAATACCTTTTTTTTTTAGATTACAATCAGACATACGTGCACATCTATCGTAAGATTAAGCGTCCCTAATATTAATCCATTATGCATCACCAAATACACTAGATCTACGTGTATTTGTTTAGGTTTGATAATGATTGCAGCATCGTTTATGGAAGATATGCGCAAAGTACAGTTGTTTACTATCTGTGTTAGATGTCAAATGGATTACACCAAATGTTTCTTGTATCATCCCACAACCTATGTAATTATACCACAAAAAATTTTCCGGTCACATGACTTTATCGTGGCGCAAACCAATTGAATTTCAGAATATAAAGGGATAGTAACCAAAGCACTGGAAGACAAACCACAGATTATTAAAGAAAAAGAAATTCTAAAACAA